CAGAGAACAGTCTAGGACCGAAATCTCTCGCGGGGTTGATAGCCTGTAGAATTAGCTTAGGTTCACTAATAGAAACCGATAATCGGAAGAACCTACATAGCCAGTCTGCCAGCCCAACGCAGCTCCAATAGCAGTGAGCAGAAAGAACACTGTCACCTGAGGCGAATGGAATCTGATCGCATTGACCGGATCCGAGATGCTCAGAATACCAAACATCAAGACTGCAGACCCGAGCAACTCCGAGAATGCGGCCTCCCAATTCGACTCGAAGAATGCAGCAGGGTAAGTCGAAAAGATACCAGCGGAATGGTGTCCACGTGGGCTCAGGATTGAGCCGCCAGGAATGGTGAACTCAGGGTCCCAGTCTTTGATGGCGGAGCGGTAGTTGATATACACAATGGCGGCACCGACAAAACCACCAAGGAACTGAGCAAAGAGTTTGCCGGGAAGTTTACGCCATTGTCCGGGAGTGGGACGGACGAGAGCCATGCAGATAGTCACAGCTGGGTTGATAGTTGGACCGGGGTCGGAAAGGTAGCCTGAGATGCAGACAGCTGCGGCCCAGGCAATGTTGATCGAGAGCCAAGTGCCATACTGGTAGTCGGAAAGGAGACACTGAGCGACGACGCCATCGCCAATGACGATCAGGAGAGCCGTTCCGAGAAACTCAGCGACATATGGTTTGAGAGCTTTTCGGGAGAGGCCAGTGTTGAGAAACATGGCTATCAGGATGTTCGACTTCCGAACTTGTGAATTAGGGAGAATTGTAGGAGTACCGTGGTAGAGATGGACTGTTTTGGAGGTTTGTTGACGGAGAAAACAGAGGGGACCAGAGGATGCCCCGAGAGCGGCACGTCATAGCTCGCCCGCCCTCACCGCCAGTGCTGTGGATTCCCCAGATAGGAAGGCGCGTTGGAGATAATGTTGGCCCTTCTGCCTCAGGTGTCAGTTATGGCCCCATTTGTAGATTGGTGTGGACTGAATGCTGGCGATAAGGATGCTGATTCGTCTACTGCAGTCCCACAAAAGTACTAAAAGCGCCATTTAATTATTCCCTTCATGTCCAATTTGATCGTACAAAGGCTAGTATAGTAGACTAAAACTGAGCAATTCACAAACAAAATACGGACGAACGCACGGATAGACAAAATATCACAAAACGATAGTACATCATGAAGAACTTCATACTATTTCGCCTTCCTGGCTTTCCCCGGGTCGGCCAACATTCCTCGATTCCACCTCGGATCATCCGATTCTTGCACCGGCGCCCACCCAAGCTGGATCTGCATCATCGGTCCTTATCAGCTACTGCCCCACAGCGGCATACCACCCACAATGGCCAGCAACATACCTGCATCACCTTCTGGTCCCAATCCTTCGTGAAGCTTTTGATCTTGCCATCTTGAACCTCAAAGATAGCAGCAGCGCTCCATCTCGCTTTCCGAGGTGGATCCGATCTTTCAATTCCTTTATACGGCTTCCCCGCATGCGATCCTTCAGCCGTATATCGCAGTAGCACATGTCCATCCTTTGCCCACGCCTGGTCATACCGAACTATATGCAGATCATTGACCGACGCCATGACATGGGCGTGCGATTCCGCGTAGTCCATCGGCGTGGAACATCCAGGAAAAGTAGAGGGACTCCAAAACCAGCTGTCCGGAGTGCACAGGTGGCGAACGGACTCGGCACCTTTATTCTGGGCTGGCGAGTAGGCAATTGACATGTATTTTTTTGCGATATTGAGATTGGCCTACATATAGTGATTCAAACGTTAAGTTAGGAGTGACACATAGGGGACTATTACTGAATTGTATACGTGCCTCTTCTTCTGGTGTTTGGGTTGCCGAGATGACGGTCGGTGGTTGGCCACCTGTCGCAGACATGATTGTTGTTGAGTATCTGACACAATGCTAAGCCCTCACGACAGATTATTGCAAATGTGATTGATGGGGTAGAGTTAATGGCTGACGGATGGAGCACAAACCTATCTATATACATACTGGTTTATATTGTCGTCTCTTCAGTCATCATGACGTTGTGTTACCTCGCCCAACTCGGTTCTGGTCTGTGGCATATCCGATATCCTGACAGCTGAAACTCAATGTTATTTGGTATACTTATGTAAACAGACCTTCCATTAGTTAGTTAGAGAGAATAGTACCACTGGGACAAGATGGTAGCTGAAAAGCTACACAAATGCTGTCCCACCCCTACCCGTATGACCCCAGAATCAAAGTGAGTCCTAACTTCTGAAAATATATTGAATCGTTGCTGGGGCATATCTTATTCCAAACGATGACTTTGAAGCACTAGTTTTACGCCGGAGTAGCGAGGTGGATGCGAATAACCATGCCGTTCAGGGGTGAATTCGCATCATCGTTAACATTAGTAACCACGATGGCCGCCGGTTTATAGTAATTTTGAAGGTAATCTTCTCTATGCTTCCGGTTATATACACTACCGCGACACATACTGGCAACGGACAGGCGGCTACTTGGCAAGTGCAGGGCCCTGTAGTATAGTACTACGAATCGAACCCGCGCGATTGGCTTCGTCAACGAGCGGGGTAAGCTACATCATTATTTAGGCGTCTCAACTCCGAATCATGTATCTATAATTGGTGTAACGTACCCCACTTCCATACAAAGCCATACTATGGTCGATCAAGAACTAAATCATGCAGCGATAGTTGGATCTCCAATTCATGCGTCAGTTGGGGAAGCGAGGGGCAGTATGCCGAGCTATCCGTCCACAATTTAAAGGTCAACAGTCACCATGATTGTCTACACAGCATACTTGCAAAGTGTGGTACTCGGTCAAGCTGCAGAAGCTTCATGGAAGATGTTGTACCTGGTACTCGCTTTCTCCGTCCCGGGCTATCTTATAGCCCTCACATGCTACAATCTCTTTTTCCATCCTCTCCGCAGCTTCCCCGGACCACCACTTGCAAAAGTCTCCAAACTATGGAGCAGGATTGGGAATCGGACTGGCCGAAAGTCTGACCGAATTCACGAAGCTCATCTCAAGTATGGACCGGTAGTGCGAATTGGGCCGAACGAGTTGTCGTTCGCTGAACCCGCCGCCGCACGAGCTATTTACACATCGCTTGCTTTGGTCAAAGAGGAAACCTTCTACGTAAGACCGATGACACACTATACATGCGATTCAAGAGGGGTTGACTGTTACATCCAGCGGGCGAAGACTGTGTTTCATGAGAACCATCTTTTCTCCACTCGGTAGGTCCGATAGCATGTGTGCAGGCCAAGTACTAAGCGAACCAAGGGATGTGCAGGCGCATCGGCAGCGACGGAAGCTGTTCGCGCGGGGATATTCGCAGGCAGCCATGCTAGAGTTCGAGCCCCATATCTCTAACAAAATCGATATGGTTCTCAAACAATGGAAGGCACGGTCAGCTGATGATCCTATTGATGTTTACCCCTGGCTCCACTGGCTTGCCTTTGATGTGGTGTGTGAGTGCAGAATATCCCGGCTTTGATTATCACACTTCACTGATGTAATGCGGCATAGACCACATGATGTTCGATGATGATCCAGGCCAGGTTACCTCGGGAAGAAGCCATGAAGTAATGGCCTATCTTCAGGCTTGGAAGCCGACCTATATCTACGTAAGCGGTGAAACGTTCTCTCGTGTATCACAAGTTGACCTCCACAAAGAAAGAGTTCCTCCCGCAATTAGACCGATGGGGAGTATATGTTCCAGGGTATGTGGGTGACTACTTCAGGAAGGTTCAAGCCTGGAAGAACGTGAGTGAAATCTACTAGAATAGCTGCCGAGCTGTCAACGGGAGCTGAAGATTATAGTATTCGGTCAATTTGATTAAGAGGAGCCGTGAAATGGGCACTAAGACTCCGTTTCTACGAGCGGCACTGAATGGTGACGAGGATGCCTTTCTCGGAAGACCCCTGACCAACTCGGAGTTGGCGGAGGAATGCATGGGCGGGATGTATGTTGAAGGCCATCATGCAGAGTTGACTTCTTCTGACGGTTATTTCAGGTTCGCAGGAAGCGGCACCACCGCTAACACGTTCACATTTCTTCTCTGGACATGTCTGCGTAAGCCAGATGTTGTGGCCCGGCTCAAGGCGGAATTGAGAGAAGCGTTCCCAGATGCTACTATTATTCCGGACCATCGGGTATGTATCATCTGTATTCAATCACTTTACAGTTGGCTAAACCGTTCCCAGACGTGCTCTTCTTTGCCGTATCTTCAAGCGGTTATTTCGGAGACATTCCGTCGCTATCCCGCTGCTATCGCCATCCTACCTCGCACCGTAATCAAGGACACAACTATTGCCGGTGTACCAATTCCCAAAGGGGTCAGTTACACTTATCATCTACCTCCACATCATAATACTTACAGAAAGCAGACAGTTGTGGGCGCACAAAATCGGACAATTCATTTCGATGCGAAGGCTTTCCCTGACGCTCAAGAATTTCGACCTGAGCGTTGGCTAGAGACGGAGAATGAGGCGTTGCAGAAGGAAGCTCTGGCGCCGTTCTCTATGGGCCCCAGAAAATGCATAGGTCTCAAGTAAGTCACGCTACAATCTGCCAGATACTCTAATACGTGCTTACGATGAAAGTTTGGCTCAAATGGAGCTCAATAAATTAGTTGCGGCTTTCTTCCTTCGATTCGATGGGGAGGTTGATAGTAGCATGACCGAGGAGGATATGCGTCTCTATGATACCTTCACTGCTTCACCCGCTGGAGGAAGGCTATTGGTTCGCTTGCATGGTTCCGTCTAGCATATTGAAGTTATCCGGGGCTACGAATATCCATTTCTCGCCTTTCACGCTCTGTTAGATTTTAGGCGCCGGTACGGGCTTGCATTTTGGCTTGTCGAATCATATTAAAAGACTGTTGCTGGAGGAAGACATATGGACGAGAAGGCGAATATTACATTCTATTGATTCACGGCCAACTCATCTCTCATTCGATTCTCCCGTCTGTATACACCTCAATCCACCATTAAGTCTAATAAACCGGATCCTCCGGCAACTCCACCCCCCAAAACCTACGCATCCTCTCCCTAAACAACTCATAACATGACCCCATCCTCAGCACCCTCATCTCCCCAAAATCCATCACAATCGACGCCCGCCCATAAACATGATACCTCTGCAACCCATAATCCACAATCAAATCCGCAACCTCCAAAATCTCCTCCTCAATATCCTCCACTCGGAACTTCTGCCCCCTCCCACTTAGATTCGCACTAGACCCCACCATAACCTGCCCAGCCTCATAATTCAGCCTACAAATCTCCCGTAACAACGAGCCCCCACCCACGAACATCGCAATCGTGTCATCCTTAACCACATTGGCTAGTGTTTTCGGGGTGAATTTCGCCAGAATAGGGTGTTCTGGTCTGTACGGAGCCACGATGCCTAAACCCATATCGAGGTCTTGGATGAGAACGCGGGTCATGTTGAACCTCTCCGCATCGAGAACGTGCAGCTCATGATGCAGCTCGTACGATCCAATCAGACCGTGGGCGTGTCCTGGACGGCGTTGTTTCGCGGCGAAGGATCGCTCGATTGCCTCGACGGAGGAGGCTAGGAGGCCGTAGCCGACTTCTGTGGGGACGATGGCGATGCCTCCAATTTGGAGAACGTTGAAGACTCGCTGGGCGTCGGAGATGGTGTTGGGGAAGTGGCCTGGGAGGGGGATTGTTTTGGGGTTGGGGGTTGGAGAAGACATTATGTTGATGTCGGAGTTTCCGATTCATGAAAAGAGAGAAATCTGGATTATTCCTCAATTGTAGGGTGGTGGGGTAGGATTCTGCTGTAGATATTCTATTGTTGATCACCTCCGTGCGCTGGCCGGTCAGATTTTAGCTGGCATTTAGGTACAAAATTTGGATTTCTGTTTATCCGCGGGGGGTTGAGATTCGGCTTGTGTTGCGGTTAGGATATACTTGATTTTGTTGAGGCTTTCAAAAGGTGCAAAGTGTATAGTACCTATTTGATCATTGTCATACTCGATTTCATGATGCAGGGATCAAGGGTGTATGTCGCATTGTTCGGCAGCCACTCCTTCACTTTCTCTTCGGCGAGTTGCAGGGGTTCCCCACGCTAACTCGCTCCTCAATGCTGAGTGGGTGGCTTTCCGCTAGCTGGGAAACTGTTGCTAAGTACTCTCGCCGCTTCTCTTTTCTCTCGGCTATATCATCACGTTGGGAATCTCCCAGGAACTATTAATGAAGTGATCGCTCCTCTATCCATACTTCGTTTCCAATGGCAGCCAGAAAATAAACGCCAAATAATTTCCGTCTGGCTCTGGTGGAGTGCGTCTGTGCGGCGCGGGTGTCCCGGTGATTTGCCGTGGGTCTCAGTCCACTACAAGACTTCTGATGAGACTGAGTATATGCTTGACGAAGGTGACTAAATGAGGCTATACAAATCCATCCCCCCATATGGTGTACGAAGTATAAACAGGAAGCAAAATCACCAACAACTACCCGGTTTTGGGTGGGAAGGAATCTGACCTCGTGGCAGAAACATCACCATCATAGGCGAGTCTCGTGGATAGATATCTTTTTCAGTTGTCTTAATATATTTTTGGGTCGACGCGAGAAAGTCCGACGTCTATGGGCAATGGCTATAAATGTTTGACTCAGAGGCTTGGACAATTACCAACGGCAAAAAAAAAAAGAAAAATCTCAGGAACGTGCTAGCGCATTATTAAGCCAAGCTGTCCAGAATTGGGGCCAAGCGGGACGACACTGCAATTGTTGGACGTGATAGGACATGGTCAAGCGAAATAATGTATTTTCGAAGGCGATGAGAGGGGCTCATTGTTCGACCTCAAGGAAAATTCTGTGTTTCGGAATCTGTCGGTGCATGCCAAAAACGGTGGTCATACAGGCTTCCACGATGAATTGCTGCCCCCAAATGCGCTGCCCCCAAATGCGCTGCCCGGCGTCTAGCGCTAATCACTAGCTCCTTCTGCGTCAGGTGCTTCAAGCACTTGTTGCACCCACACACTTTAATGTCCATCTTACGGCCTAGCGAAATATTGAATAGCCATGGATAGGAGCCGTCGAACGAGAAAATCCAGTAAAAAGAGCAAGACAGGTTGTCGAACCTGTAGGTCAGTAAGCCTCAGCGTCCCAAATCAGACACCATCTAATATTCTACAGATTGCGTCATGTTAAATGTGATGAAACTCCAGGAATGTGTCAGCGATGCACATCCACGGGTAGAAAGTGTGACGGATATGACGCAGAGCGACTACCGAACCGAAGAACTACCGCCACATTGACCGAGTTAGTACCTGGCATTGCTCATCGCTTTGGTTGGAAGTTGACTTCCGATGAACAACGCTGTATCTCGTTCTTCCAGAACCGAATAGGACCATCAATAGTCGCCTACTTCGATTGCGTTCTGTGGCAACGGCTTGTCCTCCAACTTAGCCAAGTTGAGCCGGCTGCTTTTCATGCACTTGTTGCGTTTAGTGCTGTCTATGCGGACTATGAAGCTCGAGGGATACCAGTTAACAAGAACAACCTAGATAGTGCCTTACAGCGTTTTGCTCTCGACCAATGCGGGCGAGCGTACAAATGGTTGAACTCGCGATCGGCCTCTCAGGACCCAGGATTCCGCGACATCATGCTAGTGTGCTGTGTACTGTTCATTATGACAGAATGGATGCGCGGACAGAATGATACTGCTAAGTTACACATGAAGAACGGGCTTCGAATACTAGAGGACGACCAGTCCTTGACGGCAGCAACTGCCGCTTTCAGCTCTGTCTTCGGGCAATGTCTAGGCGAATCACTTGCCTCACTGAAAGTCCAATCTACCTATTTTGGCATTGAGGAGCCAATACAACCGCAATCTTCGAAGAGCCCCAACCCTGGAACCCCAGTTCTTGATGATAGGCGTTTCTACAGCCTCCTCGATGCACGGCTGACGTTTGAACCATTGATGGGCGAGATTTTTCAATTTCATCTATTCACCTCCCGCCTTTCCCAGGAAGAGATAAGCCTCAACTATGGCGAACTTTCCGATATACAGTTCGAGCTCTCTTCCCGACTAAACCGATTCGCTATTGCACTTGAATTGTTTTGCATATCCTCATTCGATCAGCTTAGCCGCAACGCCCAGCGAAGCTTGCGCACTATGCAGCTACACCAACAAGTCCTTTCCATTGTCGTGAACCTCTCCCTCCTCGGACACGAACACAATGTTCTAAACTTCTACAACCGCCCTTTCGAACACATTCTTTCCCTTACAGAAGCTATTATTGCTAGCTTTACTAATCGCCCTAGCGTCTGTCTTGACATGGGCGTTATTCTCCCCCTCTCCTTCGTTGCGACAAGATGCCGCGAGCCCCTTATACGCGCGCGTGCATTGAGAGTTCTTCGCTCCTGGCCGCATCGCGAGGGACCCTGGGAGTCTAGTTTCATCGCCGAGTGTGCCTCAAGACCGCAGGACTCGGGGGATCCATTTTTAGCCATGCTGGCCTGAATGCAGCTAAGCAGATATTGAAAGCCGTACACGACTTCTAGTCACGAAGGCTTGCTAGATATCCGAGCCATCTCAGTAACGGCATTTTGATAGCCAATGACGGTCGGGGCTACATCCTAGAAAAATAATGAGAAATAAATGGTGCAAATCCTTGGCAGATTGAGTTTAATACCTCTTCCAGTAATCCCAGGCTATATAAGTGTCAGATAGATGCAAGTCTGTAGCCTAATTAGGAAATTCTCCGATGAGCTTCCGCACCTAGACAAGAATCATACAATTTCCGGTTAAATCCAGACTTCATCCCGGGAAAGACGCCGATCCCTGCAGCATGAATGTAACATTAATTTGTAGAGTGGTGCAGATTGCGGACTGGTGTGCATAAAAAGAGGATGGGTTAACATTCGGTCGAAATCCCAAGAATTGCGATAGGTATCTTCCAAAATGAACATCCTGTTCGGCATCCTTCCCTTGCTATTACCCTTCGCACATGGCACTACCTTCTCCACCAAACACTTTACTGGTACCTTCGACGATGGCTCTGGCGTGCTGAAATCACTCAAGTCCTCGTTGGACTCGTCCTTTGACTTCTCTCCTTATGATGTTTTCGCTAATCGCAGCGGCAATGGTCACTACCACACCGGAGACCTGACTCTACGCTACCGAGTAGGCAAATCCAACACGTGGATCGACGCAGACACTGTAAAGCATCGTGTTCCTCTCACAAAGGGGAATTCTTCGAAATCCATACTTTCGTCGAATCTTGACCAGACGATCGGAAACGTTACCAATGACCGTTTATTCATCACGCGGAACTGGATCGACTACCAAGGAGACTTGGCTGTCAATTTCACGTTGCGAAACGGAAACACTCAATCCATCGAGATCGGCAGTCTCGGCTTTCCCATCGAGTTCAACAGTATATTCACAGACCGAACAGCAGTTGAAACAAGAGAAAAGTGTGTCTTGGTCGATCCTTTCATCGGCCTCCAAGCCGGATATGCCCAGGTCACTCGGCTTCTCGGACAGGGGCCTCATCTCGTCATTACACCTCTTAACCTCGATACAAAATTCGAAGCCTGGAGATTCCTCACTGAGGACACTGATACATCGCTTGCTTATCAGAGTCAAGTGTTCGAGGGCAACTATGAGTGGCAGGTTTACTCGAAGGCTTACGCAGAACAGGAGTGGAAGGGCGTCGAGCCATGGAATCCGCCAACCTCATTAGTATTGTCGCCAGGCGAATCGATATCTTTCGGCCTGCGCTTTACGGCTGTTTCGAGTGTCGATGAAATTGAACCTACTGTTTCTTCACTCGGACACCCGGTTGCTGTTGGGATTCCGGGATATGTGTTGACTCAGGACCTTGAGGGACGGTTGTTTGTCAATACGACACTTAAGCCTGATTCTGTGAATGTTTCACCCGATGGATGTCTCTCGGCTACATCCTTGGAGATTAGCAGCAGTGTCTGGTCAGGGTACAAGCTGGTACCGAGCAAGGACACGTTCGGCAGATGCAGAGTCGAAATCGTGTACGACACGGGCTTGAAGCATACCTTACACTACTACATCACCGATGCTGGGCCCAGTACTCTATCCAATGCAGGCCATTTTCTGGAAAAAAACCAGTGGTATACCGATACTTCGGATCCATTCGGGCGCGCCCCTTCCATAATCACACACGACCGCTCCGTGAACAGCCCCGTACTGCAGGACAATCGTGTATGGATAGCAGGCTTAAGCGACGAAGGAGGTGCAGGATCATTTGTTGTTGCCGCAATGAAGCAGACAGTCCAGCCCGTTGCATCTGAAGTTGCCAAGCTGGAACAGTTCGTCAATGAGACTGTTTGGTCTCGGTTGCAGTTGACCAACGGATCCACAGAGTACGGTGTTCGGAAGAGCTTATTCTTTTACGATCCCGACGTTATGCCAGATTATGACTACGATCCTGATATCTATTGGACCGGGAGCTGGGATGAGGAAGCTGCTTACCTGATTGATAGAGCTTATGACTACGTTCACGTTTCTTGTCTCTATTGGGGTCTGTACCGTGCTGGTCGGATCGCGCCAAGTGTTTTGGCCCTACGGCCACCGAAGTGGTACTTGTTGCAGGCTTACAAAACGTGAGTATCTATCCCTTAAAGTTTGGGAATGTGGTCATACTAATATGTGCGATAGTGTACTATTCACATTTGGATCCCAACCTGACGGAAGCCAGAACACATACTATGGTGACCTTGGGTTAATGGGAGAAACGATGTGGATGCACTTGCTTAACGATCTCAAAGCCGAGAATTACACGTCAGAAGCAACAAAAATGGAAGATATCATGCGCAGTCGTGCCAAAGCGTGGTCTACACAAGAAGACCCCTTCGGTAGTGAGCAAGCCTGGGATTGTACAGGACAGGAGGGCGTCTATCTGTGGTCCAAGTACATCCACACCACATATTTCTATCCGCCAATAAACTAACACCTGTCCATAGATACTTCAACTACACATCCACAGCACAGAAGACCATCACCTCAATCAGAGGGTACATGCCAACTGTAGGCCACTGGGGCTGGAACGGCAACGCCCGGAGATACTGGGACTTTACGTATGTTTTCCCCCTCTCAATCAGCCACTACCACACTAACAAATAACAGAACAGCAGGAAAGCTCTCCCGCATCGAGCGTCAAATCCACCACTACGGCTCAAGCCTTAATGCCCTCCCCATGCTCGATAACTACCGCTCACTCACAAACCCAACAAGTCAATCCAGTTTCTACGACCTCCGCATCGGCTACGGAGGCAACCAAGGTCCAACGACTAACGTCGCATCCGATGGCTTCGGGTCTATGTCTTTCCACTCATTCCCAGAGACACTAGCATGGGATGACTACACCGGTGACTATGGGCCTGGGTTCTTGGGCCAGGTTCTTGGTGCTGTGACGGTTCTGTTGAAGCATCCTGAGTTCGGGTGGGTAAGCTTTGGAGGGAATGTTGATTCATCTTCTTCGAACGATACTGTTGCGGTGCAGCCACGTGATACCGTTCGGAGGAGGGTGTATCTGGCGGATCTGGGGCTGGATGTTTCGATTGATGCGGGTGCTATTGAGGAGGTAAGGGTCTTGTATGGTGAGAACAAGGTCGAGTTTGATTTGGTTGATCGGGCTGATGGGTCCGAGGGGGTGCCTGCTACGAGGGCGGCGGTGGGGTATTCTGTTATTTCAGTGGCTGGCGCAAAGGGGATTCAATTGCAGACTGACGGGTTGACGAAGGGGAGGTATGGGTGGGAGGTGAAGTTCAAGTCGGGTAAGGGAAAGGTGGTGTTTGAGTGGTAAACATAGCCTGAGATAATTTGACAGGGCATTCATGTTGGAGAGAGGTGAAACTTGGTTTTCTTCTTTTGGCACTCTTATGTTAAGTTATAACGACTTCTCACTCAAATATACAATATGTGCGTTGGACATTCCAGCTCGAGGACAGGTATAGAGTGAAATCAAACCTACCATAACATAAATCACTAGACATCCATTCCCGCCGCCGCAACCACAGCATCCCTCCTCTCCTCCTCAGCAGCCTCCCTAATATACGGACTCCGAGCCCTTATCTCCTTCCCCCACACAAATACCGCGACCGGAGCAAACGCCAACACCAGAGAAACCAAACCCAAAAGCGAACTCGCCCAATGTGACCCCAAATTCGTATACATAGATTGAGCCGCCAACGGAAGAAACGCAACGAACATATTCTCCCCTAAACCAATAGCTCCAACAGCGCTCGCCGCAAACATGCTATACGCATCGATGAGATAGTTTGCATTGCTGACTATAACGCACGTACAGCCAGCGCCGACCATAGCAAGACCAATGGCTGGTGCAATCCACGGGATAGAAGGGTAAGATGTCCACGCGTAGACGAACATGCCCCCTGCGACACCGATTAACCCGCCTGCTAGGGCTTGGTATAGACGGGCTTCGGGGATTTCTTTTCCTGGGGTTTCTGTATTCCGTAAGGCGGATTGGTAGTACCAGCGGTTGGTGAGAAGGCAGTATATCCAACCGATGATCTCGCCGATAACAACGGCCGCTTGTACGTATCCTCCCTTGACGGCATCCCAACCGTATAGTTCGCCGAAGACTTGCTCTGCTGATTGGGTGAATAGGTAGATGGTTCCGATGCTGAAAGCAGACCATATTGTGGAGACGAAGACCACTGATTCTGTACAGAGCATGTATAATGGTCGTTGGACACTCTTCCAGACAATCTGGACGATAGACGTGGTCTCGAGCTCTTCCTGCGTGTATGCCTTTTTCCCTTCCTTCCGGAGTTTCTGTGCCCGGGCTTTTAGGATAGCAGAGCCACGGGTCTCCGGCAACGCGAAAACAAAGAGCGGGAAGAAAAGACCAGTCCAAATAAGCTGTAGATATCCAATCCAACGCCACGACAAGAATTGGTAGATCGAAGCACCAATAACCGGCCCCAAACTGCTGGATGCCAAGTATATGGTGATATACATGCTCAGAGGAACAGTACGTGCGCGGTTCCCGACATAAATATTAGATATTATTCCGGCAACCGTGTTAGCTAGAATGGCAACGCAACCACCGGAGAAGAACCGCGTGATGATAAGCGTAGCGAAGTTCTGAGCCACGCCCGTTGGGATCAAGAAGCAAATGTAGATCAGATAAACGGCCAGGAAGACGTATCGGATGCCGAAGTCTTCCATGACAGGTAGAACCACAAGCGAAGAGAGAGCACCTCCCACGCCCCAGGAGGTAATCATCCAGTAGGAGTTTGGGAAGTTGGCTTCATTGATGTTAAACTGTCTATCGATTGCATAGTGCGCGGGCGTGATGATGGTTCCATTCATCAGAGCGATGAAGGTTGCGAAGAGCCCAATTCCGGTGACAGCTGACTTCTTCCAAGGGGGCCAGTTTATTGGGTTTTCGGGATCGTTGTCTCCATCCCAGCTTATTATCACAGTTTCTGAATCAGAAGATTGGCCCTCTAGATGTCTTAGTATAATATGTCGTCAAGGCATATGTGGTCTATCTAACCTTCGGAGGGTGAAATGGTGGCCGGCGTCACTGTCACCTTTGTGTCGTCGGTAGCAATAGACATAATGTTGGTATGTTGTAAAGCGAGGACTTGTTATATAAAATAGAAATCTATCAACATCAGATCGTGAATAAGAGTGTATAAACCTTTAAGCAAACTCTATACATCGGGTGTGCCTCTGTGCATGGAAACTCCCCCTCTTCTTGACGGCATCTGCTAGTCGGCTCCAGGGATTTACTTTATGAGCCCTATGATCCTTCTTTGCTTTGTTTTCGTCCCACCCTTTGCCAATTTAATTTGTCATGTAGCTTCTATTGCGCAACAATTCAATAGTTATGTCCGGATCCGTGTAGATCCACACCGCCTCTCCATCTGATTCGGCCGCTCAAATTCCTCGATACTAGTCGGTCAACAGCATTAGAGGAATGTTACTTCAAATTCCACTCAAATATTTAAACGATCCCTTGCAGTCTCTGTTCTGGCCTTATCGCCAGCGGATCAAACAGTCATGATGTCGCGACAGCACCATCTTTGCTGTGCCTCCCGCCGTAAGAAAGGATTATAAGTCGCTTGAGGCCACGTCTAGCTCTGGTAGGGAAGGGACGCAATCAATTGCAGGAAGCCCTCGATATTCTGTGCTGAAACCTCGCAAAAAAGGACCACGTTAAATTCTCTGACATTTAAAGCCTGGACGCATTACCCGGCAACATATCACAATCCAGCCGAGACGGAAACCATCGGACGCATCCAGTATCAAAAGTATGAATCCCGTTGATTCCATTGATCATGGTAATACCGGATGCGGACACGACTGAATAAAGCTGAATTAGGAGCGAATCTTTTGGGTGAGAAATGAGGTATTCACCAGTCTCAAGCAAAAAAAAAAAAAAAAAAAAAAAAGAAAAGGGGGCCGTGAAGCCGCAGTAACCACGAGGCCATTAATGCCATTAAGCCGTTTCTCAATCAGAACAGCCTGCGAGGTCTATGGCTTTATAAAGCATTCTCGGCCCCTAGGTGCCTCCCCATAACAGCTCCTCGTAAGGACATACTCATGTTGTTGCTTATTGTCCTCATTGACGCAACAGCACGTAGATCTACCGTCACTATATCATGGGCAATAGGGCATGGACTCATGGGTAGTGTACCATGCTGCATTTTGAGGTATCCGTAGGTAATTTTTGGTTGTTTAGGGCTTAGTGCCTGCTAAATGGCTTCTTGCTCTGCGTGACCAAGAGAAAGCAACGATCAGTGCTGGTGTATTGGAATGAGTGAGAGTCAGTCATGACAAGACAAGGATGTAGTTGAACACATCATTCATTATTGAAACTTATTTTCGTGATCCCGTGGGCAGGGTTATCTTCCTTGAAGGATAGCTGTATAATGCGTGTAGTCCGTAGACAACTACCGGATATCATCACACCAAACCTGAGTACTTAGCAGGCTGAAACAGCAGTCGACGATTACGGTTCGCTAGTCGTCGACGGATCTTTTATTGGTTGACAAAGCTACGGAGGTCAACAGGGATCATCAGGCAACAAAGATCTTACTATTTAGTATTGATAATATCTAGTTAGTGCTCTGGAGGGGTATAGTGGGATCCCGCCAGTCAACCGGACCTTGAAGTCGGTTTCATTATGTACACCAGCCTTCTTTCTCTTTGCCTGTAGTGGCCCTCGTGCATTGGCTGGGTGTTTGGAGCCGGATGAACCACTCTCGACATGGTTATTGGTGGCATCAGTCAGACACTGAGATGGTGGAGATATCGGTCGGCGTTAGCACTTAGCTTAGCCCGAGTCTCCGAGAAGAGGTTACATGTCAGTCCACCTGATACACAAGGCTGTTCCCCCGACTATCCAGCATTGCATCGAAAGACACCAACCAGTAGCTGGCAAACGGTCGGCTCATTCGAGCCGATAAAAGCAGGTTTGAACCAATCAATCACTAGCCAATTCAACATCTCCACTGCACTGACCTCAAAACGCAGGGATACCGACCGGATGAAAACCACCCATGGCTAGTTTTTGATTGGACCAAGCATGAGTCTATTTAGGGCTCATCATTTTGGCGGCGGGCGAGGCCGCTGTGGATGTTCTCACTGCGCCCGCCCCGCTCTAATCCTTTGAGCCCTTGAGGGTGCCTTTCGTTTCTCCATCGGACGAGGCTTTGCGATATTTTGTCTCATTCTAGTGAGAGATACCGGTCCCCGCTTATAAATTCGGCCTCGTGTCGTTGACCTTCTTTACTCTCTTGCCGCCTATGATGCTCAGCCTCGCGCGCCACTTTCATAAGCTGCTTCCTTCCCAATATCACTCTTACAAGGCTTGGTCTTGGTATGCTTATCTCTTGAGCCTCGTTCCCTTTCTCGTCTTGGCCCCAGTCTATTTCAACTCGTTTCTTTGCTAATTGAGGCTTAGTTTCAGTCTAGCCAAACGAAACCAACTCCTTGCGGCGAAAGAGCCCTGGTATAGAAACACGAAGAAATGTAAGTTCCAAGACACACACGGAGACAATATCCAGCATGTTTCTATAATTTCTACCTGAGAAAATCACACAAACCTCAAATGGCATCCAAACCTCTGATTCCATTGGCGTCCCTGCAGTCAGTTCCTTTGCAGCCATGTCGACTCCAGAGCCACTCCCCAACCCCCAGCGTGTCATCACCGACACTGATCTCGAGACCGGCATCTCCCACTTCAATACGACGCTGGACGAAAGCCTTGCGGTTAAACAGGATCTAGGAGGCTCCTTATTCCGCTTAGGATATATCACCGATAAGACCCCCAACACACTCGATGGCACCGATCTCACCAACTACACTGAGTACTTGGAGACTGCCAGCGTGCCTCCAGTCACCCTCCCCGACGGCCGTGGTATGATCTGGTACATCGACACTCCTCCCGGCAAAGGCAGTCCTTCCCACCGCACCCTCAGCTTCGACGTCGTCATTCAGGTCGCAGGCGAGATCGAATTGACTCTCGAGTCAGGCGAGAAGCGCATCCAGAAACCTGGTGACATGGTCATCCAGCGCGCTACCACTCACAGTTGGAGAAACCCCAGCGAAGACAAGTGGGCCCGTATGGTTGGTGTCATGTACTCCAGCAACCCTGTGGTTCTCAAGAATGGTACCGAGCTTGGTCCCTCCGGGCTCTAATCGCCTTATCAGCATTGGTATAGACTATTTGTGTCTACATAGAACAGCCAATTATTTTCGAGCTCATTTTTAAGATTTTCAAACCCCTAAGCTTCTAGAGTTGACAATATGTCTTATCTGCTAGTAAACCAATCAGTTCATTATACAGTAAATTACCAAAGTGCAAAATACAAAAACTCATCATTTTCTGTTTCGATATATTAATTGGATACTACTGTGGTGAATGACTTTGTAATTCCCTATCTCAAGAACGAACACACTATAGGATAGACAAACATGTACAGAGAAAAAGCATGTTCCCATACGGCATCATCCCAATATCTCCACAGGAACATCCACCACCTTATCACGGATATAATCAACAAACCCCTTCCCAAACCCATCAAGCCGACTCGAACTACTCACGCCCCGTCCCAGAATCCCATAGATGACAAAGTGCACTGCCATAATATTCGGGAACTCAACGCGCTCAATAAAGAAGCTATCATTCCAATCTTTGCCGATGAGCTCTCGCATTCGATCTCTGGTCAAGTATGATCGAAGCCAGGCCCACTGCTTGGGGTTCGTAACGAAAAGTCCACAGTTAAGGTTTCCGCCCTTATCACCTGATCGGCCGAGAGCAATATCTCCCAAGCGGAGTTTCTTAGTGGGACTTTTAAACAGTTGTGGTTCGGCTGGGTCGTAATTATCCCGGGGTGTGAGTTCTTGATATTGTGGGGGATGACCGGTATCGTATGAGCTGATGTTGTTGGATGCGTCTATCAGATTTATTTCCTCGTGGATCTCGGATTGCTTTATCAGTGCTGGGTAGTACGCGAGGAACGGTAGGGGAATGGCTGTTCGAGTATCCAGTGATGCATGAAAGCCTACATATTTACCCTTCGTGTTAGAAGACTGCAGTTTATATATATTTGGCGGAACTGAGAGTACTATATTGGGTGACGCACCAGAAAAATGCTTGAGAGAGATATCTTTCATAGCCTTTGCTACAGCCAGAACAGCGCTTTCTGACCGCGATGCCACGAATACACGCAGGTACGTAGTACTTTCGGCCTGGAAGGCTGGATTGGCTGCGGGAGTTCCAATTCTACGAATGTTAGGCAGTGAACGAGCACGGGAAGGACAAGTCGTACCTCTGAAACTCCAAAGTCTCCAAACTTTTCTTGACTTCTTCAGGAAGAAAATGACGCATCTGCCGCTCAAAAAGATCCCACTTCTTATCCGTAGCATACCCAGTTGCATTAAGCAGAAGTTGGGCTTCGTATCCCCCTCGGTAGAAGACAGCAAGTTTAGTCGTCGGGGGTGGAGGTGATCCTCGAATGCCCGATACATACACCCTGTATTCATTTTGACTATGATCAGCTATGCTCGCTAGGTTCAAATAATCACGTCAGAATACTTACCTATCTTTCCCCACGTCTTTGACCGCAACATCGCCGATATAAGCACTCACGTCACTATTGAGATAGATACTCCCCTGCAGTTCATACAGAAATTGACTGCAAACAGTCTCCGAGTTCACAATACCCTGTGTGTTTGGGTGCTTCGTGATAACGCATGTGCCATCCGCAGCAATTTCAGCGATAGGAAAGCCTGGAGCAACAAGATTATCCAGAGGGTATTTATCAAACCCAGCAAAATTGGCACCAGTCACATACGCAGAACACTCAATCAAATGACCAGCAATCAGCGATCCAGCAAGCTTGTCGTAGTCTGTCTCTGACCAATTATGCCAGTACCATGCCGCAGCGATAACAGGGCTAGCGTCAGCAACGCGACCACAGATGATGATATCAGCACCTCGGCGCAAGCCATCCACGATACCACGAGCACCCAAGTACGCATGTGCAGATACCATTGGAACTGGCTTCCCGTCTGGTGTGTTCAGGAATGCGTATGTGAGATCTGAAGGCACCACATCTGAGTTCCCGGCATCAAGATGGGTCAGCTCTTCTTTAGTAGTTGGCATGTTAGGTCCAACACGATCATACAAGTCATCGCCTGAGAGGTACGCAACACGGAGATCAAGCTTCTTCTCAGAGACCTATTGAATAGCCAGCTGTGTCAGCATGCTCGTCAGACTCTAGTATACAGAAGTAGTGCGGCCTACCAGAGCCTGGATCTTCAGTGCAAGAGCTTTAGGATCCAAAGCACCGCCGTTGATGACCACTCGGATACGCTTCTGCGCAATCACCTCAATGGTCTGCTGAAGTCCTTCCCAAGCAGTAGCTTCGTAACCGGGATGCTTTCCTTCTCTCCATGCCTGGGCATTATTCGCAAGATTGACTTCTACACACTCTAGCTTAGAAACCGCAGTTGTTTCGTAGAATATGAGCACTATGGCTTACCTGCGAGATAATCGCCCGTTATAAAATCAACATCTCCCAATGTTGCCTGTAGGTACATTTCATACGCCGGGTCGCCTGCCATACAACATCAGCCTGAGTGTCTCATTCAGAATGTCGGGTTGCCTACCATGATATCCAGAGCAGTTGGCTATCCTAACAGGGCGTGTCTCTGTTGCAGAAGACATGATTGCAAGTTGTCAATCTCAGTAGTAGTCGCTCCAAATATTCTATGAAGATCGATAGACAGAATCCCCGCATTCCTTGGTATACATGAACCACGCCTTATATACCAAGTTCCCGTACCTCGGCCATCGTTCGGATATTCAGGTAATTGGACAAAGAATTGCGTCGTCGAATAGTGAGCAGCTCCTGGGTCAAGGATGTTGAGCATGGACCCTTCGATCCGAGTGGACCAGTAGCATCCCCTTGCTTCGTGGTGTCTGTATCCCTAAAAGGCTATGATTGACTTTCATCCTTTGTGTCCCCGTGGCCCGTGGCAAGACCCCTCACAGGATATGGAACGATTATCCCCAGTGCATCCAAGTTATGCAGCATTATAGTCAACCATGTGTTCATTAGTCAATCAAAACCCCTAATAAACGTCATGGGTTAGCAGATCATTTCTAGTTTGTTGGTAGCTGTGCCGTGGACCTCGGACTTGGAACCCCGCGGGCCGTGGAGCCAGAATGTCCGGGCCCTTTTTTTGTCTCCTATATGAATATGACAGCTAACGCAAGGGGTAGTGTCGCGTCGCTGGGTTATCTTCTTCATTCTATCCTGAACTGAATATTTCGTCTACTTCTTCTCCCATTCTTTGATGGTACTGACATAACTCTAACCAACAATGACACTGGCCCACGAAACTGTTCCCGGTACGGAGGTCTACGGACCTGGCACTTTCATCGACAAGAATGTGCTTCCAGTGCCTGTAGACGCTCGTCGGGTGTTTGAGCTTCTCGCCTCTCGAACCCCTGGATTTACCCAGAACAAAGCACTATGGGATACTGTCCACTTCGAAGGACGACCTGAGCCTATGGTTCAAGGTCCGATCAAATCACCCGTCATGGCAGCTGCGCTTCATGCCATGGGAGGAGTGGTGGCTAATGAGCTTCTCGAACTGCGTGATGAAAAGCCCGCGACGGAGAATAGTGTGACAGTCAATACCGACCATGCAGGTATTTGGCTCGGATCTGTGTTCACCACGTACATAAATGGCTCCGATGTATCCGCCCTGGCACGGTCAGGAAAGTTGAGTTCACTCTTCGAACGGAATTATGAACAAGGCTTTGGCAAGGGGATAGCAAGCCGGGCAACCGCTATTTACCAAACAAAAGATCCCAAAGTGTGGTACCAGCTTCATGGTTCACTCGACGCAAACGCTGCTCTTCGGACAATGGGAATCAACCCTGATGTGACTTTCAGCACACCCCAACAATACTATGACTATATCCAAGGGCATATCATCAAGTGGTCGCCCGATGAGCTTGAAATGCACAATGTGCGTCATGGTCTGTGTGGAAGCATCTGCTACTCTCCGGAGGGCTGGAGGAAGACGGAGTTTGGTAAACGCCTGTCCAGACACCCTCTGGTCAACGTGACAGCCGAAACATATGCCAAGTCTACACCTCCAATCCCTTTGGTCAAGGGTCTATCTGACAAGCGGCCACTTGCCGGGATTAAGGTCCTAGAGATGGTACGTATCATTGCTGGACCGCAGATCGGCGTTACCTTGGCATCCTACGGGGCGGACGTGATCCGTGTGAATTGTAGCAGATTAGTTGACCTTAACGTATGTTTGCCTTGATCCAGTGTCGTGTGAAAGCCTACTAACAATTCTTGGGTTCTAGGCACTCCAGCTCACACTGAATGCGGGGAAGCGGACAATTGACCTCGACATCACTAAGCCGGAAGACACGGAACGACTGCAAGAACTGCTTGCAGATGTTGATATTTTCATCCAAGGGTTCAGAATGGGTTCCCTGGAGCGTAAAGGGCTGGGGCTCCGCAACTTGCTGGAGATAGCAGCTAAGAGAAACAAGGGAATCATCTATGTCGACGAGAACTGTTACGGTCCAGATGGCCCATTCCATGAACGTCCTGGTTGGCAGCAGATTGGAGATGCGGCATCTGGAAGCGAGTATGTAATGGGTCGATCACAAGGTTATGAGGAAGGAAAGAGTGTATTGCCACCACTCCCTGTGTCTGATATGATAACGGGCATTGTTGGTGCAGTTGGTGCCATGATTGCGGTAAAGAGACGGGCAGTTGAAGGCGGCTCATATCACATCACTAGCTCCTTGGTTGCTGCTGATGCAGTTGCATTGGAGAAGGAAGTAGGATTATACCCCCCTGAGGTGGTACGAGACACGGTCGAACGATTTGGGTTCAAGGAGATTACTCCTGATCAATACGTTTCCGAAGTCCTGATCCCAGTCATTGACGGTTGGAAGAGAGGATTGCCTCATGATTTGGACGAGGACTCTAGGTTCATGACGACATTCAAGGACCCAGGACCATGGGGACGCCAGACTCTCTTGAAGCCTGTTGCAAAATTAGGTCTTGAGGAGTCGACGCCAAGATGGACTTCTCCTCCTGTCCCGCACTGCCATCATGGTAGGGACATCAGTTGGCTTTGAAATAATTCGGGGTATGGAGATTTGTATATAGTTTTCTGAGTCAAGCAAATCACGTCTCAAGTATCTGGCATATTGGCCTCCGGTATATCCACTCCCGGAACGACCGGAAACGAAGGCGCACCTGAAACAAGATCCTGCCAGTTCCAAAATGGCGGTAGGGACCACTGCCAGTTAGTCGCCTGATCAACTTCGTTGAAAGACCCCAGAAAACCATTATCTGTGTAGGGCCCCTGCGGCATCACATTCGTAAACTGTGCGCTTCCCATATTTGCCGCAGAAGCGCTACCAAAAGGAGTCGGTATCGCGTCGGAAAGATTGGGGGCTGTATTTTCATTGATCCCATAGCTAGATAGACTAGGCCTGTTATTTTCGTTGTTCTGCATAATTGCTGGATGATGGTTGCGGGCAGATTGCGCCGGCAAGAAGGCCCTCCTAGCAGAACGCTCTAAGTCAGAGCACATGCCCAATACAAAGTCGATGTATGTATTAGGCTCCTCAGAAGAAGTACATGTGAGAAATTTAATAACATCCTGGATCATTGAAAGATCGTCCCCAGCTTCTGAATGTGCAGGATGTGCGAGTATCCTTAGTGCAAGAGGCACACATGCTGCCGCTGGAAAGTAAATTATGTTCCTTCAAAGATCAAGATCAGCGTAAGCCTCTCGAAGACGTCAATAAGTACTCACCACTTGTAGGTAGAGCCGAGCGAAGGCACATGTGATAGTAGCGCCAATGCAGAACGTGCTGCGTCTAGTGAGCGTGAAACAATTGGCGCAATATCCTCGTCCGTTCCCTGTCTAGACCGCTCGATAGCGTTTGCTTGAAACACACACACCTGATAAAGGTTTGAGTAACAGCAATTAAATGCGAAATGTAATCGAAGGACATGTTGCAGGAAATAAGTTGGTTTACAGGAAAATTTACGCTGGGGTTGAAGCCTCGAATGTAAGGTCTTCTTCCAGCTCAACAGCGCGTCTTCACAAGACTTGATTCTTTCAATAACATCATCACTCGATTCTTGACGAACAGTTACCGTGTAGAGCTTTTTATAAACAAGCCGCTGAATCTGGGCTAGTTGAGCAAGGAGACGGAAGTAGTTCATTCTAGTACCGTCAATCGTTAATATGCCTCTGCCGTCAGATGGATTCTCTGTCGGTAAATGTGTATCATAGTCTTCGATATCCTGGACCGGCGGGCGGCCCACCCGGATGGAAATGTCTGAGTCAAGTATGAAAGCGACCCAGTACACTCTTCGCCTGTGCTCCGCCTCGGGTGAAGCTCCAGCGCCGTTTTCTCTATGCAGTCCTATTGACTGGGCCAGACGCATTGCTGCAGCCGCGAACATAAAAAGGGCTTGGGGGTTAGGTGTACCCTGAAAGTAAAGCGCCAGCCCCAGGAGACCCTGCACGGCGGCAATGTCAGTGTTTTGAAGGAAGACGTCAACGACAGCGTTCAAGGCATTCTTAACATGTCCCAACGACTTTCTCCAGTTGTCACTAGCATCAGAAGATGCATGTGCCCTTTCTCTGTATGATATGGCCAGAGCGATATTGAGGGAGATCCACCATGATGCACTATTATCGGGATTCCATGAGTATTGTCTGTCGACGGACCTCATGAACGAGACCTCCCCAAAAAGAGGAATTGCTTGGTTAAAAGTTGCAAAGTACTCTCGCACTAGTTGGACAGTTGTGTCCTTACATGGTAGAGGTTCGAAAATGCGCCGTTCAAGGCCATCTTGAAGAATTTGAGGAACCCAGCTGGAAAGTTGCCATGGATTAGCACTTCTTTGAGGTGCGCGTCGCCAAACCCCAATATCCGGCTGTGCCTCTAGCCCATTCAATTCGGCATTTGTCAATGCAGAAAACGCAGACGAAGCCCCTAATCTCGATCAATAACTGGGAAACGGTCCAGACGACGATCTTGCAACCTACCAAAATAGCGCATTTTTCCGTCCTGTGCGTCAATGACAATAGATTGATCATTCTCGGCGGGAGGGTGAGGACCCTTGTCAGAAGGTACCTGAGACATTCCAGGGATGCTGTCTCCGTCTGTTTGGTCTTCTGGCTCCCCTAAATTAGTACTGCTCTCGACTGACGTGCCCGGCGAAGTTGGTCGTCGGGTATTCTCCACGCCTCGCTGGATTTCAGTTCCAGATCTAGTCAAACGCTCCAATTGCTCCTGCATTTTTTCAATTCGCTTCTCTAGCTGTTCAACATATGGGCTACGCCCGTTAGTCATCTGATATGCGTGGTAGCTTCTTATCAAATAAGTAGGCCTAGCACCTACCGACTCTCGCGTTTCCGGCGGTCCATGACATCTTGATACCCGCAAGTGAGATTGAACGCATGGCAAGGTGAACAAATAGGTCGCTTTCCGTCACATTTGACCTTTTTACGCCGACAGGTATTACATGCCTTAGGCGTACCTGATTAGCTGGTTACTATATAGTTTAAGATTAAACGAACTCACTTTAGCTCGCCGGACAATGTTGGCTGTAGATGATTGTGTTCCGTTCATCTCTCCTCGACTTTTAGTGATTATAATGGACTCAACCGGAGCGCAGAACCTTATATAAAAGCGATTCGGACTAACAAGTGAAACGTTTAGTTTATCGCAGATTGGAACGTCCAGTGTTCAATAGATATAGTAGTTAGTTGACGCAAGATCGCACCGTTGGCTGCCGGTCTGGTAGACTAACCGAGGCACACTAGTGCCGGTGAGCTTAGCACAGGTGCGGATTAAAGATGTTCCTGACGGACCACCAGAAGTGTATGTCAGGGTTGCTGCAACAGGACATAACTAGATTAGACGATGACAATGATGATAAATCATGTGCTGAATTTTCGCCTCAGGTGTTATGCAGATGTCTACTTCTGATATGCACAGTTTCCATCTTAAACTAGTATCACATTTACGAGGAGTTTTGGAGCGTCGGCAAAGCCTGTTCCGTGAGCATAGAATATATATCTGATGAAAAGTAGTCTTCGAACCCTATCCAATTCTGCCAACTATGTTACGATCAAACCCGGGGTCCCGCTGTTGTACCATTGCAGCTAATCCGAGTCCTGACATTAGTTTACCTCGCTCAGTACACCGGCCAATTACTGAACCACTTGTTCATGAAAGACCGCTTCTCGGCGGAAGCCACCAAGACTGGCTCCCACGCATCGCCTAATTCCATCACCACTGGCTCAGCAGCATCGTTGGCCGGCCAGTTGGGCAGCTCTGGGCCATTGGGATTCCCAGAGCGCAGGAAATTTACCCAATAGTCGGACAGCCGGTCGGCGATTGCATAGTCCTCAGGCTTCCAAGGCTTGTCGGTCGCATACAAGTTGTTGAACGCATAGTTGATTTCACTCATGTGGTATGCGCCCTCATCCTGGCCTGGGGGAGCATGGGTCCAGTAATAGGTGTAGGTACTGACAGTGCTGTTGCCCGAGGTGTTGCGCGCAACTCCAGCCTGATACTCGTTGGCCCACTCCCAGATGGATATGCGGGTCTGGTCCTGATAGAAGGTATTGCTGGCGGCATCGGCGCTGCTGTTACTGTTCCCTGCAGGATATAGTCGGAAGAACTCAGCGGCCAGGCCGACGCTGCCAAACTCGTACCGATTCTGGCGCGTATAGCTCTCGACTGTCATCCCAGGGTTCGGGATCGCACCATTTTCATCTCGGTTTCCGCCAGTCAGAACCGCGGCGATTGTATGATTGCCCTGTAGCAGCATCTCCTGGTAGGTAGCCGGAAGTACGTAGCCGTCCAGGACGGGACGGAACAGCGGGGGCTGCATATAGACCGAGTTGTTGGCAAAGACCGTATTCACGTAGGTAACGTCACTCGCGTCGGCGCCGGCCAGGAAGACCTCGACTGGAGCGGCACGGGCCGCGGCAATCCCTGAGAGGTTGAGGCTGGTGAGATACGCAGCCCCCTGCGCCTCCGCGACGGCGAGATGGCGGTACCCCTCGGCCACACTCCCCATCAGGGGGTTGGAAGGGTAAGTGGCTCCGCTCTCAGCAATCACCTGCTCGAAAAGCCCGTCTGCAAGCGGACTATTGAGATGATCGAGCACGGCCGCGGCGCCCGCTGACTGGCCTCCGATAGTAATGCGGGCAGGATCACCCCCGAAGGCTGCGATGTTCTCGTTCGTCCAGTGCAGCGCCGCCTGCTGGTCAACTAAGCCATAGTTGCCTGAGGTACCGCTCGACGAGTTCTGACTGAGTTCCGGATGGGCTAAAAAGCCCAGCGCGCCCAATCGATAATTGACGGTCACAACCACGACCCCCTTGGCGGCTAGGCCGGCCCCGTCGTACAAGGCCTGGCTGCTCGATCCCGAGCCAAAGCGGCCCCCGTAGAACCAGACATAGACTGGAAGCTTGCTGCTGGACGAGGCGGGTACCACGCCGATCCCGGTTTCCGTGTTATTCTGCACGTCGTTTAGAGTGGCCGTGTCGGGAGTCCAAATGTTGAGATACAAGCAGTCCTCGCTATAATAGCTTGACCCGAGCTGCGGACAGTCTGGGGCAAACTCGGTAGCGTCACGGACGCCCGTCCATCCGCTGACATGTTGCGGATGACGCCAACGATAGGCTCCAGTCGGGGCGGCGGCAAAGGGGATTGCCTTGAAGTTATAGACCGAAGAGATGTATTGTGATCTATTGCCTTGCACCGTGCTCTCGTATGTGTCGATGTAGACGGTGGGTGACTGCACTGGAGCGGCTGATGAGCTCGATGTGCTTCTCGACTGGGTCGGCGTGCCTATAACGCGGCCATATGCGGCACTGGCCAGCAAGGGGCCCCAAATCAGGAGCTTCATTGCTTTGTATCACAATGGTTGAAATCCAGTTGTCAATTGAAGTTGGTCGGGGTGATGCAAGCTTCTTTTATATTTACCCATTGCTCTTCACTCCCCTCGTCCCCAACTCCATTTTCTTTAAGATCTACTTTCCCCTTTCCCCACTTTCCCCAAAATCTGAGCTTAACCGCTCCGTAATTTCCTTCCTTTCATGCGGGAAACACGGGTGCCCCTACGGACATCGGATAACGGAGATGGTGCGAAGTCCGACATCATCCCCGTACACTTCCTACCTGTCTTTCGTCCTGGCTGCACTTTGCATACCCCCTCTTTGCATGGCATGCACTGCTCGGGTCAGATGCCAATCGAACAAGATATACCATCCCACAGCCGAAGGCCTGGCGGCGAATTGAAGAAGGCCTGACAGTGTTTCGAACGTGTGAGGTTGATCGGGACATGCTGACCCTTTAGTGCGGGACGGCTCCGCGTGCTTGTTTCATCTCCACCAGCAAGGGAACAGACGAGTTGCAGAAGATAAGCATTGAACCTATTGGGTCGTGCCCGACATCGGGGGATAGTCTACTTTCGCCTTCCTCTTTGCACTGCGGCCTGCAAAGTAATGGATGGACCTGCGACAGGAAAGATTTGCCCCCGCATTTGATGACGCGGTCAAGCCGGCTGAAAGCTTAGCTCCGTCCCTGTTTGCTAGACAGCGGAGCAGAGCATGCCCTGAATTTATTGTCCCTCTAACCCAGAAGAGTAACATGTCATCTAAATCCCCGCGTTGGGAAACAATTTGACGCGGACGATATTACTGGACGGCATGTCAAGGAATCGACGCACTCGATCGTGTACCATGTAGATTTGGCTGAAAGTGACAGCAGTCCCTTTCTCCGCCCCCACAGACTGAAATCCTATACGAGTCTGAATGCAGTCATGATAACAAGAAATCTGGTACCGTGTTAGACATGATGTGGTAAATTGAGTGAACGAATGTGGTAGACGGGCTCATATGATACAATTATGCATTCTGCCGGCATTAATTACCAGGAAACTGTTATGTCCGACCGCAGCTAACGGCTTCCTTAGCCAGTTTGCGCCTATAAAGCCGAGCTATGTTCACCGCCTTCCATCGGGGACCAGCTCCCCGCAGCATCTTCGGTGGGAGATAAGGCACGCCGCTATCTAACATCCCAAAGCTGCTGGCACATCTCGCATTTGCACCTTCACTCTGTATGGCATTCCAAGCTCTGTTCCCTGAATCTCACCGCATTGGCTGTATCAACTTACACTAACCTTCTTCATTATATCCCTCAAGTCAGCATCCACCTCGTAAACACCATCCGCTCCCCACAAGCAGAACAATACAGTGACAACTGGAGCCCACCACTCTCAATACATCCACACAATAACCCCTCGCATTTATACCAAACAATACCCACAATGTCCTCCACAACTCCAACCACCCAAACCGACCAAATACCACCCCACCTCGACCCCCAAACCTACCCCCGCACAACCACAAACCCCACCCTGAACACCCACATCACCCTAACCTACCACCCCCTCGATCCCACAAGCGCACTATCCAAGATCTCCTCTCCCAACGCCGGCGCAAATGTCCTCTTCCTCGGCACGACACGCAACTCCTTCGAAGACCGCCCCGTCGCGCAACTAAGCTACACCGCATACCCGCCCCTCGCGCTGAAGACATTGTCCAAGATCGCGGAGGACGCGGTGACGAAACATGAGCTATTGGGTGTCGTGATTGGACATCGGCTCGGAGACGTGCCGATTGGGGAGAGCAGTATCGTGATTGCGGTTAGTGCGGGACATCGCGGCGCGGCGTGGAGGGCTGGCGAGGAGGTATTGGAGCTGTGTAAGGAGAAAGCAGAGATATGGAAGAAAGAGGTGTTTGTGGATGGGCAGGGGGAGTGGAGGGCGAATAGGGATCGGGATGCGGAGGGGAAGTTAGTGCAGGGGTGAAATGGGATATAAGTCGGTAGGTGAGTGGATATGGCAATGATAGGTGATGGGTGGAGAATGCTAATTGACAGTCTTATTTTACAATCACGGAGTAGGGTATTGTCTATGATACACATCGAGGCAGGCAGAGACCATCACCACTTAGTCCTTCTTAAGGGGCTTGCCCTCCCGCTTCCAGTCATTGATATGTTCCATGATCGTCCTCGTGGCCGACTCAGGCGTATCCTGACGACCGATGCACTCGACGAAGTCGTTATCGGGATCTGTCAAACAAACAAAGTCAGCTTCAGCTCAAGCAACCCCTTCCCCCCCAAAAAGAAAAAGGAACATACCCATCAGATAGAAATAGATACTATGATCGACCAAATAATCCTCCCCAGGCTTAATATCTCTCGGGGTACTGAAATACACCCGATACTGCTTGCAAACATGCTTAACCTCATCATACGTTCCCGTCAACCCAATAATACCAGGATGGAACTCCTTCAAATAAGTGCGCAGCACCTCAGGCGTATCTCTGGCAGGGTCACAAGTAATAAACACAGGCAAGAAAACATTCTCGCCCTTCGTAGCCTCCTTCACCTTATCAATAATTTCGGCCATTTTGTCCAACTCATCGGGGCAGATATCAGGGCAGTGAGTGAATCCAAAATACACCTAACCCCCAAACCATCCACCATTAGCCTCAATCCCAATCCCATAGTAAGAAAAGAAGAAAGAAAAGGAATACTCACAAAACTATACCTCCCCTTCAAATCCTCCGCCGTAAACTCCTTCCCATCCAAATCCTTCAACGTAAACGGACCTCCCACCTTCGGCTTCCCAACCCCCTTACTCATCTCCGCAATGCGCTTCCTCTCCAACCTCTCCTTCTCAACCCGGAAGTAAATAATCATACCACCGCCCGTCAAAACGAACAGCAGCGCCGCCTTCCACGAGAACGGACCCGTCGAGTTCCGCGCCTTCAATTGGCCCATTGTGCGCGCGCGAAGACAAGGCGGAGAGGTCGAGAAAGAGCGGCGGAGTAGTAGTCCTGCATTGTTGCTGTTGCTGCTGGTGCTGCGGCTGTTGATGTTGGTTGCTGCTCTGAGTTGCGCGGAGAAGAGACCGGTCGTCTTCGCGGCGGTGTGTTCGATTGGGGTGAGGGCGGAGCGAGAGGTCCGTGTGAGGATCCGGCTCATGGATCTCATTGTTGATGCCATTGTTGGTGTTGTTGTTTGCCCGGGTTGGGGAGAGGGGCGCTGGTGCACGGATTTTCTGGCGTTGAGGTAGGTGTGGTTTTCGGAGTCCGCGGCGGAGGTTTGGATGGTCGAGACAGCTCGGTCCGGAGGATTGGTTTTCTGGATGGGGTTTAGCGTCTGCGCCTTAGGCACACAGGGATTACTTCGTGTCACGTGTATTTTGGTGCGGGCTAATGGGTTATAGGACTTTTTTCATTCATCTATAGAATTGGATGCAACCCACGTATAGGGCTTGATATCCATGGTTGAGAAGACATTAAGAATGGTAAAATTACAAATATTACACCCGACCTCCTGTCCAATGACGCCAGTCCTGTCCAATGCACTGCGCGAGGGGAGCAGTCGTACATGCTTGCTATGCAATTTATTGCTCGCCGGGAAGTATGGTCGCCGAAGGAACAAGGGCACGCAGGTTGATATAATGGAACAGTAAAGTAGAAAAGTAGAGAAACCGATGAAGCGAAAACGACAGGTGGTATTTTGACACGGTTCGTGGCGTAAAGACAATGCGAGACTTGGTATAAACGAAAAGAAATGAAGCAAATGCATCTTTTGCCCCCGAAGGTTGTTGAAAGATGGTATGTACGGAGGAAGTCGGGAGTATTTCACTGTACACTTCGACTGGCTAAGCTGGCCCGACTGGGAGTCGTCCGTGGTTCCTCTTCTTCGATTACATCGCTGAGGCGCGTAGGATGACGATGGCGCGGGGTTACGGACTCCCAACCTGTCCCTACACCCCATCCCGAGCCGCTATAATCGACAGACTGGGTGTAGCCTCCATAGAGAGGTCCGGATGTTGTGGGCATAGAACTGGGTGGGTATCCACCTTCCTCTACTGACCCATGCTCATACTCGTCGCTCGCTTCGGACATGGCAGGCTGGTAAGCAGTTGGCTGGCCCTGCGGGTTGCGGCGGTAGCTGCTGCCGGCCTCTTCTTCTCCTTGCTCGCTACTAGCAACGCTGGGGCCGTAGGAGCGGTCATCATTCTCAGACGTTGGCCGAGCTGGATATGCGGCACCCTGCTCATAGAAATGTCCAGGATATTGTCTCTGAGCTTCCGGAGATGATGATGGAGGTTCCTGAATGGGCCTATGCCCTTCCACAAAAGGATCGGTGCCGGTTGGGGATGCAGGAGTTTCATAGTATTGACCTTCCGTCACCGCTGTGGTCCTCGCGGCGCTCTCACCACTTGCGTATGGGCTTTCTCGGGTTGGCGGGCGATTGGTATTATGCCGACTGGCGGGGCCTGGGATCATCGGTACGACCTGTACGCCTCCGACTAATGTAGGTTCTCCATTCCGGAGGGATGTAGTGCGGTCGCGTTCTTCTTGTTCACGCCGACCCAATTCTTCCCATGCGCGGCGGGCCTCGTCTTTGGAAATTTGCAACTCACGGCGCATTTCTTTCAGTAGCTCTTCGGCGCGTGACTTGTCGCTCTCTGCTTTCTGCAATGAAGTGAGAGCATCAGACCGAGCTTGTCTCTCAGTCCTAACCTGCCTCTCTAGCTCCGCTAACAACTCTTTTGAGCGTTCTTGTTCAGCACGGGTATCGAAAAACCAACGCTGGAACTTGCGCTCCGATGAGGCCCGCAGGCGCTGCAACTCAACCACGGCATGGAAAAGATTGGCACCAGCGGCAGAAAGGTCCGTCACCTGGCGCGCCATTTGCTGATTCAGAGGATCGCGCTCGAGCGCTTCATTATTCTGCTCCAGCTTGCGAATCCAGTAACCAGTCAAGCCCTCCCAATGGGATGAGAGTGTTTCCCATCGTTCGAAGGCGTGAGGGAACGGAATTCTACGAGATTGTTGCTGGCCTTGGGAACTTGGCTGTTCAGACGCCGACTGAGCTGGCTGCTTGGACCACCCGGCAGAGCTCTGCGGGGCAGCCTGAGGCTGTTGAGATGCACTGGGCTGCCCAGCCGAGGTAGTCGGCCTCAGAGGTCCATGTGCACCACCAGCTCCAGGGATAGACGCAGAGGCTTGAGGCTCTGGTCGTTTCGTCGTTGTGGAAGACCGCTCTGGGATTTGCGTCCTTCGTTGCGAAGTTCTGTCACCGGCAACGCCAGCAGCATAAGCTTGACCGGGCCTATTCTGCTCCTGTTGCTGTCTGCGCTCGATGTCATCCTGCTCCCGATCCCTCGCCTCCTGCTCTGCTTTCTTGCGAGCTTCTCGATCCCGGCGTTGCCTCATGATATCCGTGGGCGTCCGCACACCACTTGCAGGGTGTGGGTTGACAGGGACCGGACCTTGAGTGGCGCGAGTAGATCCATTCTGAGTACGGCCATTGGCTCCAAAGCCTGACGGACCGGGGGCACCCGCGACGTCAGACATGGGCGCATTCACTTCTTCCCAGTCTAGTGTAAACGGAATTGGTTTGCGAAGTGCTTCCTCCAAGGTCCAGAGAATAGCAGACGCGGTGCGCGGGGAGACACTGGTTGCCCTATGGGGCCAGTACGATTCACCTGGTCGCCGGGAGGATTCCTCTTCCGAGTCGGCCTCTTCGTCGTCTTCTTCGGTTTGCGCCTCAGACAGTGCTGGACGCAGAGCAGCGAGACCACTTTGGTGTTCCGAAGCGGGTCGCACGACCACCGGTATAGTCTGTTCTACCTGGGATGGCCTTCCGGTATCATATACGGACGGAGGTCGCTGGGAAAGTCTGGCTGTTCTCCGCAATGAACGAGTGCTTCCGAAAGCGCTCGAGGGTCGAAGTGACGGATGATGGGTAGAGTCAGGAAGGACACGGGAAGCAGCCTGCTGCTGGCGTTGCGGTGAAAGGGTCGTAAATGTTGTAGGGTCGTTAACGTCGTAGGTCTCGTCAAAGTCGGCGCGATTGCGATGAGACACCGCTGAAGATGGAGGATGCTGAAACGGGATATGCGACGACAACGTGGGTGCGAATTGGGATTCGGCCCCTACAGAATGGGACCAGGAACGAGAGCCCTGCAACCAGACGTGGGTTTTGACAGCGTGTCAGGAGAAATATGCACAGCTCCAGCAGTATCTAGCACTATCCAGCACACAAGATGAACCCGCCGCTGTGTATGTCCGATGGGTTAGCACAAAGAATGCTGCACAGTGGGTAAATTCATTCGAAACACGACAGAATAGTAATGGGGCGCGTGGAAGCAGTTCAGAGCGAGCCACGCAAATCGAGAGTGAGAGGGGATTTGAAGGCAGTGGCTGGTCGAATAGGGAGACGCCGTCGCAGAATTACGATGGCTGGGAAATCGGGAAGACAGTTGCAGCGACGGGATCTTACCTGTACCAGGAAGCGCCCTGCAGACCGCAACGAGCACCGCTAGAGGCTCGTAGCAGTCATGGAGCAGAGCAAGAAAGCCCAATGGCTCCCGCGGAGGATTCAAGGCCGGGTAGCAGCGGTCTGAGTTGTATGAACAACAGCTAGCTAACTGTGAGGCGGGCGTCGGAGGGTGGAAAAGGAAGGGAAATTGAAACGGGAAAAGATCGGGAAAATCGACTGAGGAGCGCGTTGTCAGTCACGCCGGGCACCAAAAAAAAAAAAAAAATAAAAATAAAAAATATCCACCCTCCCGATCGATGAGGAAGACTGATTCTCTGGATCTGCACAACCACCCCCAACTGCACCGGATTCAATCTCTGATGTTCGCCGCAGGCACTTAAGAAGGATGGTTGACCCGCCGATGGCCATGATTCACAACACTGCAGGCCAAGATAATTCTTACCACACGCCTTACCTTCCCACCTTCAATCTACAAAAGGTCGCACAGATAGACTACGATGA